AAAAACACGTTGACGATCTGCGGTTTGTTTTGGCCAATGAAATTTTAGCGTATATCATCACAAGACTGTGAAATTTTTATGCGGTTGCCAATATAATGTAAAAGATGCTGTGAGTGAAGCAATTAATGAAAAATTATTTGAGGTGATTAGTGTATCACAGCTAAGTTGGGCTAAAATGAGCAAAATTGAGAAAGCTATAGGCCTTAATATTATAAAAGTATGTAGATGATTTCTATTAAAGAAATGTTTTCAATATTTGATCTCATCTTTTTCTCTAAAGATTGGTGTCAAAGATTTCCCAGATACTTCCATCATAGAATGCAATGGATTTAAATGGGATATGGAAAAGGATAAAGACAAACAAATGCAGGATGTCAAAGACTAGTTTAAAAATGTATTAAATTTAGAGGAAGGTTATTCTGTCAAAAATGTTCATAAATCTACAAAGAAAGAAGTAGCATTAGATAAAGCTCGTACTATATTATGGGCGGATTTGATATTAGCCCAAGTCAAACGGAATGTGTCTATATAGAAACACAAAGACAATTCCAAAAATTAAAGGCAGAAGAAGCTCAGGCCAAAGGAAAATTACTTATTGCAATGCGGATGTTGCATTGGACGTATTGGTTGTGTTGACAGATTATAACGACAAGTGGACCTTTTTTTTTTATAATCAAGGATAAAGAAAGCTCAGTTGAGAAATATTACATTGTAACTGCATATATTGATGACCGTGGAAAGGGCTCTCGACGGTCCTTCTGGAGCCAAAATTTTTTCATTTTGCAGTATTTTACTTTACGTTAAACAATATATTAATTCGAAATCAAGAACCTTGAACTTAATCTCTGACTTCATTCGAAACGCTAACCCTAACATTAATGAACTTTAAAATTTTTTTTACTGCATCAGAATGATCGACATAACCTGGCACAGACAATAGGGATGCCAAAAAAAATAGAAACTGGTAGATATAATAATGAACAAAAATTAAGTTCACATGAACTAATTTATTTTCATTAACTAGTTATCAATGACCCTAAAGGATAAATCACCTTTTAAACTTTTATCACACTTGTGTCATATAAAACTTATGTTTCGTCATAAGTTTCATCAATCGTCATGCGTTCGTCATTCGTCAATTCGAAGTTGCCTGACGAAACCGTTTCGTCATTCGTCAGTGACGAAAGGTTTCGCTATTCGTCAGGCATCATTAAATATAAGTAGAAAGTATTTTATTATTTATTCTTCTAAAAAACCAAACCGTTTATAGCTTTCCAAGCTGAAGCTTTTTCTTGCGAATTTTTTAACACATGATCTATTGACCTTCTTTTCTCTATAAAAAATTACTACCAAGCCAACGCTCTTTAAATATAAGATTATAACAATTTAATTTTAAAGTAATTTCCAAGTACTTTAATAAATTAATTTTAAAGATAGTTTTCTAGCACTTTAGTCAAATAATTTATAAAAGGTTTTTCTTTTCTTATTAATGAAATGTTATGCTTAATAACATTACTTAACTGGTCATGTATTTATTAGAATGATGGTTTATAGTGCTAGTTAGAATTTTAACCAGCTAATTGAAAATATCACATTTATATTTGGTTAATTTTTGTAGGTCTACCGTGATTTCCTAATGGGTGAAATTAAAACAATACTAAAAGTTCCTATAATATTCAAGTATTAATAACGAAAGGACATTTAGAAGACAATTTATTAACCAGATTAATATATATTTAAAGGTTCTTTTTATTATGAAATTTAATAACTAGGATAATACTTAAGTGATTTCTTTCATTAAAAAGTGATCAAAGAGAATCCACCTTCAACTCCTGCTTTATACTTGGGAAACTGGCATTTATATAGATTTCATATGGGCGAAAATTTGTGATGGGAATGTTGTGATTATTAAAATTAAGTAACATACGTAATGATTTATTGTGCCGGAACGGAGGGAGCGGAGTGGAAGACCTTTCCATGCTCTACTAAATTGAGACGATGTCCGGCTCCACCCCTGTAATGTTGATATATACGTATTTGGCCTATTGCCATCCCCGTAGAAATTTTAATTAAAAGTCAATCATTAAAAGGTCTTTAAAAAAAAAA